GTGGGAAAAAGAAAATGGCAATGCCCCCTCTACAATTATGAAGGAGAAAACTGGAGAAGAAGGTGTAACAGAGGAGAAACATTTCCTTTCCCATTTTTCCGCATATATCATACACTTTCCAGCCAAAAATGTACAATCCTTGATTCGAGAGTACGATAAATTATCTTCTTGAGTCCAAGTATTTGGTTTTGCAATATATATGATGCAGGTATGTCCCGAATTATCCCTACCAAACTCCACATATACAGCCTTTAGATAAGGGAATAATTTCATCAGCATATGCCTTGGTCAGGATCCACAGACATCGCAAAATTTTTAGAGTGATCGAGGGTAAGTCATTATGAGGGGATAAAGCTGATTTGCGAAAATTTATAAAACCCCAAAAGTCTGAGATGGAGTATGAGAAGGACCGGATTCAAGACTGTTCCATTTTTGAATCACCCAAGATGGTGAGTTAGCCACCACTGAAGTTCACAGGTATGAGAATAGTTTTGAATAATTTATGTGCTTGTATTATATCTTGGAGAATTTTATTTTGAACTTTAGCACTAACCTTTACTCGGGACGAGTAAAGAGCTAAGTGTGGGGGGTTTGTTGGTGGTTGTTAAATGCCAATTCTATGCCGCCAATACCTGCATAAATCAAGGAAATATAACATCCAACATAGTGATAGAGTTTAATTCTAACATACTCCACGAGTGTTGGCGTATATTTTAATACAGGAAACAAACCGCCGAAGTTGGGATGAAAATCAGACTCGAGTGAAGGTAAAATCCTATCCATATAACGAGTGGGGGCCAAAAACTACATGGAACATTAACAAATGGGCCTTCCACTCGAAGAAATAGATAAGGGGGGTGAGGAGGAGTAACATGCCAAAAATTGGGCCTTGGGCCAGGCATGGGTTTGGCCGAACCACCAGCGCAGCCATCCGATCCAGGTTTCCAGGTTTTTGCATGGATGGTCCAGATGAGCACCTGATGGCGGTTGAAGGGCAAAAAGGACATTTTGCATTTTCCTAACCGTCATACCTGTCCTATTTAAGGACTCGCCTCACTCACTTCACTCACACACTCCAAACTTAAGCTGAATTATAAGAGGCTCTATTGTACTTTATTGTATACTAGATTAGGGAGAGAGTAGAGTAGAAGAAGTCGGAGGAATTCCGGAGTTGTTGGTAATCCTCTTCTTATTTCTTTTGCTCTGTTAATTACTCTGATTATAATAGAAATATCTTTTAAGTAATTTAGTTTTGCTTGGTGAGAATTAAATCTTTGTTAGTTCCTAATCAGCGTGCAGGATCATCGTTCACTATAATAAGTTAAAATATAGTGGTTGCTTCAGTGTGTAGCTAACATTAAAGTAAGTATTTAATCTGCTTAGATGCGGTGTCTAGGTAGTTAATTTCCGGTGTTTGCTCCGTATCCCACAGTAGGTGTGAGGTGGGTGTAGAGATGGTGACAGCCCTCAATATCACTGAAGTCCTCCTTGTCAGGGTGCGTCGTAGAGCGATATTTGGGAGCAGCATGTTGGCCAGTGCCTAAAGTATCACGTTAGAATTAAAGTTAAGCTTTCCGTAGACACTGTTTCTCACCATTGAATCCTCTCTATCCTTTGCCTATCCTTAGCTTTGTGTCCTTGGATGAACCTGATTTAGAGTTGACACACACGATCCCTGTGCAAATCGATACCTGAGAATACTCCCAGGTGAAGCGCTACATCGGTATTTTTCGTTGATTTTATCTGTAAGATTAAGAAATACCAATAGTGGACGGAAATCCGTTAGGAGAACCCTGATGGACGAGTGGGAAGAGGGCAATGATGTTGAAGGCTGTAGCATTGAAGGTGATGGCAGCGGCAAGCCAAGCGATGGTGAATGGGAAGATGAATGATAATGACTTATAAAAAATGTATCATGAATTTCAGTTTGTGGTGATAATTTTGTTTATTGTGTGTAACTAAGTATTGTACAAATTCAGTAGGGATGAAATGGTCTCACTTATTTAATTATGTTTGTCGTTGGGTACATTGGTTAGTGTGTGCAAACATCATTGTGGTGGCGTATTTGGACAAATGAACTGTGTGAAATGTAATATTCCAAAAAGCTTATGGCTGGTGATTGAATTGTGCGCATATTAGTAGTTAAAATAAGTAATGTGAGTTGAAATAATGATAGCAATGTGACCATATTAACACTCTGAATGAAATGGTTGGGGTCATGAAACCATCTTGGGATAATAGGCGATCCAGAGGGAGTTTGAGGATCAGTAATGTGTTTACTTGGGGTTGTGGACCTGAGGACGGGGTATTGTTAGCTAATAAGTAATATATTTTCTGGTGAATGTGCATGGATCAGATGATGTGCATGAGAGATATTGGCGCCAGGGAGGTGGATAAGAGAATGAATGAATTGGTCAAGCGTAGAGTTAGGATACTATATTTAGCTAAGCCGACCTCTAGGCGTTATATATCGTACACCATTGGACTATCCAGTTCAGATTGATCTCCAAGCTAAAAGGATAGGCGCATAGATGTCCGGGGAAGGGGGATGAACTTGGCAAAGAACTCCCTAAGCTACCCGATGGCTTTCCTGCATCAATACATGGTGATTCGTCTAGGTCGCATTCGCTAGAGTGGTTGCCTCCATCTCCGGGATTGAGTGATGTGAATCTACCTCCCGAGTTTCCTGTAATCGGGCCACCAATGCCAGACTGGCCGGCACCTCCTTCACCATCGGATGAAGAGAGGTTTCGAGAAGAGCTGTATCGAGACTACGATGATGGGTACGTATCCACTCCCTGCCCGTCACCACCATTAGATCTGTTCGATGCCGAAGAAAATTTGGAGTATGGAGATGAGGGAGATGATAATTGGATGCATGGGGATGTGTTCGCTGAGAGTAAGAAATCGAAAAATGTAGCTTCGCCGCCGAGCAAGCGCAAGAAGTTTTAGAATATTACCGCTTGCTCGGCGGCGATGCTACATCTTTCGTTTTCTTACTCTCAGCGAACACATCCCCATGCTTCCAATTATCATCTCTCTCATCTCCATCCTCCAAATTTTAATGGTCATCGAATATATCAGATGGTGGTGAGGGCAGGGAGTGGATACGTACCCATCATCGTAGTCTCGGTACAACTCTTCTCGAAACCTCTCTTCATCCAATGGTGAAGAACGTGTTGGCCAGTCCGGCGTTGGAGGTCCGGTTACAAGAAACTCAGGAGCTAGATCCACATCACGCATTACCGGATATGGAGGCAACCTCTCTGGCGAATGCGACCCAGACGAATCACCATGTATTGATGCAGGAGAGCCATTGGGTAGCTTAGGGAGTTCTTTGCTAAATTCAACCCGCTTCACCCGCGGACATCTATGCGCCTATGCTTTTTGCCTGGAGATCGATCTGCAACCGTACAGTCCAACAGCGTACTATATATATAACGCCTAGAGGTCGACTTAGTGTGACATCCTGGCCCAATAAGGATTAGGCCTGTGCGGCCCATGTGAGCTGTGTGCGCATGTTTAGTACCATCTTGCTAGTTTAGCACGAGTGGAACCAACTTATAAGGCCACTTCCCTCCAACCATGCCACTCCCGGGTTAACCCTTTTACATGAAGCGAGGACGAAAGTGTAAGTGGGATGGATGTGTAAGTGGGCCCGCCCGTCTGATGGGTTGGCTACGCGGTTTTGAAGGGAGGGCTGTTACAAATGGTATCAGAGCCGACCCTCGCGGTTGCGTGTACGGGTCAGTGTGCGGGCATATGGCGCATGTGGGCTTTGTGTGAGGCACATGGCATATGGCGCCGACACTGGACGTACGGACATGCGCTAAGAGGGAGCGTGTTCCTGGACATTTGCCTGTATGCCTGTGTGGCTGGGTAAGTTGGACCGACGGGGACGTCGGGTCCTTGGAGGGGGGTGTATGTGACAACCCGGCCCAATAAGGATTAGGCCTGTGTGGCTCATGTGAGCTGTGTGCGCATGTTTAGTACCACCTTACTAGTTTAGCACGAGTGGAACCAACTTATAAGGCCACTTCCCTCCAACCATGCCACTCCTAGGTTAACCCTTTTACATGAAGCGAGGACGAAAGTGTAAGTGGGGTGGGGTGTGTAAGTGGGCCCGCCCGTCTGATGGGCTGGCTACGCGGTTTTGGAGGGAGGGCTGTTACACATCCTATCTCTACGCTTGACCAATTCATTCATTCTCTTATCCACCCCCTAGCGCTAATATCTCTCATGCACATCTACCAGAAAATATATTACTTATTAGCTAACCATCCCCTGCACATCTACCAGAAAATATATTACTTATTAGCTAACCATACCATATTACTTACTACCAGAAAATATATTACTTATTAGCTAACCATACCCCGTCCACATGTCCACAACCCCAGGTAGACACATTGCTTTACTTATTAGCTAACCATACCCCGTCCACATGTCCACAACCCCAGGTAAACACATTGCTTTTCCTCAAACGCCCTCTGGATAGCCTATTATCCCAGGATGGTTTCATGACCGCAACCATTTCATTCAGAGTGCTAATATAGTTACATTGCTATCATTATTTCATTGTTATAACTCACATTACTTGTTATAACTATTAATATGCGCACAATTCAACCACCAACCATAAGCTTTTTAGAATATTACATTTCACACAGTTCATTTGTCCAAATACGCCACCGCTATGATGTTTGCACACACTAACCAATGTATTCAACGACAAGCATTATTTCATATAGTATGTCCAGATTCGTTGTAACATCCTAGTGCTAGATTGGCTTTTTGTTGGACGGAGGGAGTATATCACTTCGCAAACATGTATGATGTATGTTCAAGTTCAACATACGCAAGTAAAAACAAAAATAATAAACTTGACTCTGAATATAGAATGTATAATTCATAGTTAAATTTATCATTTTTGTTCATAATTGTATAGCTTGAACTTGAACTTGAACTTACATGTTTGTGTCACATATTGAGCTATCTCATAAAAATAATTGTTTTATAACTTTTAAATGACACATACACAACGAGAGGGTGTCCCCTCGAGTGAGAAAAATCCATCTTCGATCGACTTTACACTGTATACAACTGGAAAAGTAGAACAAATATGACATGTACAACGGTCACACTTCCATAATGATTCCTTTATACAATTATATGTGCTTTTACATGCATCATTGAAGTGATATAAGTTTTGCAACAACTTAGTTTAATAAAACACTAGTGCTTGTCTGCAGGTTCACAACGGGATGCCGTTGACGAGCGCGAGGGCGATGCTGGTGTGCTGCTTCACTCTCGCCACCCCGGCGGCGACCTCCTTCCCGGCGGGCGACCCCGCCGCGGCTTCTCCGGCTTCCTCGAACCCATCGGTGCACGTCCCCTCGTCGGTGATGGCCGCGCTGAGCCACGTCTGCACATTCGAGACATGCCACCTCGCCTGCCTGCTGCTCACGCCGGCCGCGGCGGCGCCCGCGTCGAGCTGTCCGAGCTCCGCCGACGACTGCCTTGCCAGGTCGCCGGCGTCGGAGATGGTGCTCTTGCAGTCCTTCAGCGCGGCGTCCACGCGAGCGGCGCCGCCTTGGGCGAGCAGATCATTGATGCGGGCCGAGAACGCCCGGAGCTTCGCCGCCGCGACGTTGGCCGCGGCGACGGCGAGCTTGACGTGGCTGGTCTGGAACGTGGAGGCGTAGGGGAGGAGGGAGTCGTAGCAGACGTCAGGGTACCGCGTGGTGGCGCAGCGGGACCGGAGGAACGCCGTCGCGGACGACGCCGCCGTAGGCTGGCCACCGGCGTCGTCGAGTCGCCTCGTCGCCGACGCGGCCGTGAAGAAGAGGAAGAGGAAGACGAGGGAAATGGCGCGAGGCGGAAGCGGCGCCATGAGTGGAGTTTGCTTGCTTGCTCCGCGCCGGATTTTGACAACTTTGACGTGGAGCTAACTAATTGGCCGTCTTGGAGCGTTATATAGGGATGAGTAACATGATGATTAACATAAAATAATATTATTTTTTGTTGCTTAGGCCGGTGGCTAGCTAGGCTGCTGGCGTATGAACCAATCATATGACTTTTTGTTTCGTTAACTCAACTCTCATCTCATGACTTGTCACTATCACCTAATTATCCATGCACGTTTGTAATCAAGAATCCCAAAATTTATCCAGGAAATAAAGAAATAGTTGCATGTTTATGTCGAAAAAAGATGACCTGAGCAAGTCAGTGTTGCCAAAATAGTGATCGGAATTGGGCACAACAAAAGCAAGTCAACTATACTTTTCGTATTGGGGATTAGTAATTAAGCAAACTGATACTGTGCCTTACAAATACATACTTAATTAATTAGAACTTTAAAAGTCCATTTTACTGTATCGTATACTGTTGTATGGAGGGAATTATATTCAAAACACTATCGAACGTTTAACCAGTACTTCTGTTATCTTCCATTCATTATTCACTACTACGAAAACTATTTTTTTGACGGCCATTTTAGGTTTTTCTGGCGAAATTTGGAGCTGCCATAAAGCAAAGGTCAATGAAGACCATGATTTTCGTTGGCGGTTATCGACCGCCGGCGATAATTCATTTTCACTAGCGGTCGTCTTAAACCAGCTGCCAGCAAAAATGGATCTTTGTTGGCGGTCGTCTTACACTAGCCGCCAACAAAAATTCATTTTCGCTGGCGGCTGTGTTAAATAGGCCGCCAGCAAAAATCTATTTTGGGCAAAAAAAAAAAAACGCATGCAGCTACCCAGCCGCCAACGAAGATTTGGAGAAAAGCCCATTGATTCATTTTTAAAATCCAAATCCACATCTAGAGATCTAGATTCAAATCCAATTCATATGCATATGGCTGCTCATTTCCGAATTCAAACACAAAATACAAAATCATCATTAGCACAGATCATACATCATGTACACAGATCATCACAACATGCACAAAACATCTGCATCATCTGGATCATCTGGAAACATGCAAAAAAAAATCCTAGCCGAGCTCGTCAGATTTGTGCCGCCGCTGATCTCTCGTCGTCGCCACCTCACCGCCGCCGGTGGGGAGGGAGGAGGCGCCAGATCCGCTCCCCACCGCCTCCTCCCCCGCGCCGTTGACACTGAGAGCCACTGCTGCCGCCGCCGCCGCCCCCTTCCCCGCGCTGCTGCCGAGGCCTCGTCGGCGTCGGCGGCAGATCCGGCCTCCCCGGTCGTCGAGGCGGCGGATCCGGCCTCCCCCGTCGTCGCGGCAGCGGATCCAGCCACCTCCGTCATGGCGGCGACGGCTCCGGCCTCCCCCATCGACGTGGCGGCCAGATCTAGCCCCGAGCTTGCAACGGAGAGGCGACGGCAGCCCGCGGCGGTGGTGGCGACGGCAAACGCGCGGCGGCGGTGGCGATAGCAGCCCTCGGCGGTGGTGGTGACCGTGGTGGAGGATGGAGAAGGAGAGGAGGAGGGACTGAGGTGGTCAAAACATTTTCCCAGCGGTCCATTTTACCTACCGCCAATGAAAACGCGAATTTTGCTGGAGGCCACTTAAAAGGTCCGCCTCAAAAAATTGAGTTATTTTTTATGGCGGACCTCTTAGCATGGCAGCTAGCGAAAATCGGTTCGCCGGCGGTCTGTAACCCCCCTCTCCTTATTATATTTTTGCTGGCGGTTTTTGTGTGTGGCTGCCAGCGAAAATTATAGGGTGACGCCATTAAAATTCGTTTTTCTAGTAGTGATTCACTAGTAGAATCCACTGATTGGCCGCGTTAATTACCTCAATGTTGTCGTCAAGCCAGCGTTCCGCGTAAGGTATCCGAATCTCGGTGAATTCGTATGTTTCGGTGAGATCCGAGACAATGCATGCATTTCACTCCCATTTCGTCTGGGATTGAATTTAAACCAAATTTGATGAACTTCCATCAGAAATTCTGCAATTCATCCATTTCGGTGAAGCCCTTTTTCTTTTTAATTTGGCAATCGGATCCCAATACCTTTCGTCAAGCTTTGCTTCAATTACCTCAATATGAATATATAGCGCCATACATATATATCAAAAGTTGGCTCATGCATGAATCCACTCCATGCTAATTAACTATAGCCAACAGTAGTATATGAGCGAATCCAGACAACCGAACAAACAAAAGTCTGTCTGCTCGCCATTTATGAAGATCAGATACTGATCTGCTGCGGCAAGCAACTATTTTTGTTGCGCTAGAAATTACGCAACTTACTTATATATATAAAATAAAAGAGCTGTATACGTAGTTTATGTACACACCACGTGATTCCCAATCTCTAGGAGATTATATATGATGCCACGATTGGTGTGGTTGCGAAATTATCAGTGTATATATATAAATCTAGCGATTAGTTGTCTAAATCGATCTTGCGTGGAAGAGGTACATTATTGGCAACTTGCATGCATACAAAATAGAACCATGCTTTTTTAAATTGGATTGTTTCACACTACCAAAATAGGGTAATTTACTATTGGATATAGTGCTGTTAATGGTAAAATTAGGTAAGATACATATGGATTCGATGCGGATTTGGAGGACATAATTCGGTTTCCAAAAACAGAGTAGCGCGTCGGCTGCAGGCTATATCAGTCCATACCGACTTGGACAAACCTAGCCGATACATGCAAGACAATATCATATTGAACTCGGGTAAGGGAGTTGAGGATATGTTTAAACAAGAATCAAGTCTAGTGTAGATATTTGTATTTATTAATTAGGATAGGAGTTAGTTTCCTTTATGTATTTTAGAAATGGTACAGAGTACGCAATGGGCTGGTCTGTTTATTTTGTGTTTAAGAAAGTTTGAGTCGTGTCCGATATGGATAAGTCTATGTGTTTCAGGTATAAATATATGCCTAGGGTATTATAACAAGGACAATAACAGTACAATACACTCTCAGCGCACCGCTACCCTTTTACTTTTTAATTTTCACGACGAGTTCTTGTTTTAAGTTGGGCTGCATCGGCTTCAATCTTTGACAAGATGTAAGACTTGTTTGCTGTCGTATATCTTAGCTAATTTAAGTGGATGGTTATGTTTACTTATATCGGCTAGTTCTATCTAGGGTTTCGTTGATATCGGCTAAACAATTATCATTGATTTAGATTAGCTAAGGTATGAACCACTCTAACAAACAATCAAAGACTTGATTCTTTAGACCTTATATTTCCTTTATACTTAGTGTTGCATCAATTGAGTTTGACCTACTAAGTCATGCTTGGAATTGTAAGAACTAACTTGTCTCTTGATTGTCAATAAGGATAGCATTGGGATTTCAGCCAATCTTACATGATATATCTATTGTGCATCTTTTTCATATGTTTAATCTTGCTTAACATATCTGCCCCTTATACAATAATAACACTCATTTGGGAATTGATGCTTGTTTAATATATTTACTTTAGATTGATATTTTTGTATAAGGCTGTATCGGTGCAACAGCCAATACATTATGTTTTTATACTTGAACTGTTTCATCGGCTATGATACAAATACTTCTAAGCAGTATACTTCATTTGATCTTGGATGTAAGCAGTTCATACTGTTTCGATTTAGTTCGATCTATCCCAATTGTTTGTATTTAAGAGAATATTGAATCATGGATTACATAGTGTTAGTTTCTACAGCCGATGGAACATGTTTAAGGCTCTTTCATATTTATCTATCTTTTATAATACTGTTAACAATAGAATTTGGAGAGAAACTTGGAGTCGAAGAACAAATCAAGGCGGATATAGAGGGGAAGGAATTGTTTCCAAAAATTGGTTGCACATCGGCTGGAAACAGAGTTAGATTAGAGTTGAGCCGATCTGGGTAACTTAAGCAAATACGAGTATGGTTGGGCTCGCGATAGGCCTAGATTGAATTAAAAGATATTGTTGTGCAAGGAAAGAGTCCATCAAAGACAATTGTATTTATTAATTAGGTATATTAATGTCAGTTTCTTAGATATTTGGCAAGAGCCCGCCATGAGGACTTTTTCGTTTGAGTTGTGTCTATAATCGACAAGTTTGTACTATGGGCATAAATATGTGCCCAAAACCATGTAAAAAGGAGACAATCGTTCAATACACTCTCGGCGCATCGCCACCTTTTTTCTTTTAGTTCTTCTCGATGAGTTCTTGCTTTGGGTTAGGGCATCAGTTTTTATCTCCTAACAAGAGGTAATGCTTCTCTCACAGTGGTTTGTGTTATTGAGGTTATTATGTCGTTTTAGATATGTAACTCTTGCTAATATAATCACTAATTATCATATATCTTAATTAATATATGTCCATGGTTCAATTTATCTTGCTAGATCTTTCCTAGGGTTTTGCCGGTAATGGCTAAATTGTTTCTATTAACTAGAATAACTAAGGTATCCACCACCCTGAAAATCAGTCAAGTGTTTGATTGTCTATATATTTTGCTTCTTTTCATACTTAATGTTGCATCAGTTTAGTTTGATCTATTAAGTCGTGATTTGAATCTTTAGCTCTAACCTACTTTTTGATTGCCCATAAGGGTATAATCAGGGTTTCAGCCGATCTTACCTGATATAGATGTTTTGATATGTTTAATTAATCTAATCATTCTTGACATGCGATATCCGCCCTTTATATATATAGCATGTATCACTTAACATAAATATATTTGGTTCACATTAAGCATATTTCTCTATATTGACATGTATATATAAAGCTATATTAGAATATTAGCAAATACATAATATTTTTATCTAAGTATTGTTCTATCGGCTATGATATAAACACGAACTTGGACAATTTGGTTTATATACAATCCATATAGTCTCGGTTGGGTCCGATCTATACCGTTTGTCCATGATTTAGAGAAGATTGATTTAGAGATTAGATGAATGTTGCTGGGTTGACCTCACCCAGCATCGATTCGTCAGCAGGGATAGAAGGCACACCCGTCGCGGCGCTCGTCCTTGCTTGGCAGTGTCTGGATGCCGATGAGCTCGCGCACATCGTCGTTCGGCCGAAGAGGAAGAGAAAGGGGAGAGAGACAAGGGACAGAGAGGGAGCAGGAAGAAGGGAAGGAGATAGAACATGGTACGTGGGCCACACATATCAAGAGGTCCCACGATTTTTTTTTGTGAATGACAAATGAGTCCCATAATTTTTTTAGTTCTAATACCATGTAAATGCCATGTCAACGCTACGTGGGACAAAGATCAGATCAACACCTCCACGTAGGTGCTACGTTAGTGAATCAGCCTTCCAAAACCATTGAGGAAGTCAAATTGCACCCGTTTTATAGTTGGGGGTCGAGATAACTAAAGGATACGAATCAGATTCGGCCACTGGTTAAGGGAGCCAAAGTAAACTTATCCTAATGTGTTTGTCTTTATTTTTGAGCCAACGCATTTATTATTGGGCTTACAAAATAGTAGGCTCAGATTTTCCAACGGGCCAAACAAGCAGGCATTTAAATGGACTGCGGATGCGCCCGTGGGCTGATTTAGGAGTTCCAGTTTGGACTCACGCACATGGGCTGAAATGCTTCGCGGGCTAATCATGCGTCTCTGGCTTGCACGTGGGTTTTTTTTTTCTTTTTTTTTTTTTTTTGGCTATAGACGTGGGGCTTCTTGTTGTGTTGCACTCGCGTCTGAAACGCGGGAGGACGCGCGCAATAGACCCACCTGCTTTTGATTTCTCGGTATGATGCTCTCTCCATCCCATAATATAATATAAGGGATTTTGACATTTTGCTTATACTATTTGACCGCTCATCTTATTAAAAAATTTTGTGCAAATATAAAAAACGAAAAGTTGTGCTTAAGGTACTTTAGATAATAAAAGTAAGTCAAAAAAATAAATAATAGTTAAAATTTTTTTAAATAAGATGAACAGTCAAACAGTATAAGCAAAATGTCAAAATCCCTTATATTATGGAATGGAGGGGTATTTAATTTTGGGTTTGTCGGCTGTGCACTAAGCGCCATTACCGGTTAAATAAGAGCACCCGCAATGGTAAAGTAAGGTGCTATCTATAAAACATGTACATCTCAGCAATAGACTAGATTAATAGTAAACCATCTCAATAGTATGTCTACATGGGTATCTATAGCTCTCTAATACATTGCCTCGTTTTTCTCTATAGACTATCTTCAGGTTAGTAGATACCTTTGCTCTCTCTCTTCATTTAATCTCTTTCAAATAGGAAAGTATGCTGACATGGATCTCTTATAGAGAGCCTATAGATAACCATTATGGGTGCCCTAAGAAGAAGAATTGATGCTGTGTAACAGCTGTCTTACTGGAAATAAATACGATGTATTTTTTTTTTACGATTTGACCATATTTTTTTGTTAGAATAAATTCTCGTAAAAGCAAATATTGATTGTTATGAGATTATGAAAATATATTATAAAAAGTATATTGCACTTTGCACCGGTAGATTAACACTGTTTTCACTTTACACTGGATTTGGCCTATAATTTCACTTTGCACCGGAGGATGACAAACTAATTTTCACTTTGCACCGGGTCATATCAGACCTCATTCACGCTTATTCAGACGACCTAATCGATCGAATCGTGCGGGAGACGCCCACGATCTCCTCGCGGGTATCTATATATTATGCTCTCAAACTATTGATAATAAAATCAAAATTTCGAAAATTTGTCCGAATTTTATTCAATACTCCATACATTTTCTGTATAATAATTAGTTGTGGTCGTACTGCCCTTAGGGCATCCCTCCAATACTCCAATAATAACCCATCAACAAGACAACAATTATAGGCATGTACTCACTCTCGTGCTAACAGACTGTAACAGCGATAAGTTCATTACTTTACTACTACGTCACCATCGACTGCCATCCACAGATTACAACGGTATGCCGTTGACGAGGGCGAGGGCGTTGCTGGTGTACTTGCTCACGTTCGCCGCCTCGCCGGCCACCACCTCCTCGATCCCCGCCGCCGACCACGAATCCGCGTCGGCGAACCCGTCGGCGCAGGTCGCGACGTTCGCCATGGCGGCGCTCAGCCACGTCTTCGCGTTGGACACCTCCCACCTGGCCAGCCTGCTCCCTCCGCCCCCCGCCGCGGCGCCGGCGTCCAGGCGGTCGAGCGCGGCGGACGACCGCCTCGCCAGCCCGGCGGCGGACGATACCGTGCCCACGCAGTCTCGCACAGCCGCCGCCACCCGCGGCGGCGTCGTCACCGCCCCGACGTCCCCGGATCCGTGGACGAGTTCGTCGAGGCTGGCCGAGAAGTCCCGTAGCCTCGCCGCGGCGACGTCCGCCGCCGCGCGCGCGAGCCTGACGCGGCTGTCCTGGAACGCGCCGGCGTACGGGAGGAGGGAGTCGTAGCAGACGGCCGGGTACACCGTGGTGGCGCAGCGCGAGCAGAGGAACGACGCCGCCGCCGCCGCACCGCACGGCCTCGTCGTCACCGGCGAAGCCGCGTCGGCTCCTCGTGCGGCAACGGCGGCGGCGAAGAAGAGCATGACGAGTACGACGTGGCGAGGTCCAGCGCGAGACGACGGCATTGTGGTGGTTCGGTTATTTCTGCACGTACTCAGCTTGGAAAAGAGACGAGGCGAGATTTATAAGGTCTTGTGAGTTTTGGACTTTTGGAGACGGCGTCATTGCCAAGTACTGCATGGACTACGTAGTACGTACTGCTTCTGATGATGCATGTTAGCTACGCCAAGAAAACTTTTTTCAAGAACTAAATGGAGAGAAAGAGAATGTCCTGGGTCAGAGAAATGGAAAAAGCTGGAATTGATTATTAATTTCTAGTGCTATTGGAACAGCTGCTTCGTTCTTGTTTTCCGTTTTGTCTTCTTTTGCAGATTTCGTCGTGACAAATTAATAAGCGCCTAAGCGGCATTATTCAGATTTTGACACTTGTACAACTAGTTCGTTTTTGCAGTTGCATGAACCATCATTTTTCACCGTTAACTGATAGAGAAGAACCGGCCGATAACTGACTTCTGTACCTGTAAGTTCATAGAAAATTTTGAATTTATGGGCCAATCAGCAAGGAAATCACACTGGAGATTTATATCTCAGCTAGATCTTTAAAGACGAATAAACAAATCGTATGTATCATTCGTAAATTGCGAGCTGGAAAACGGAAAATTAATTGAGGGCGATGTCTGTATGTGTGTCGATGTGTATGTGTGCCAGAGATCCAAACAGCGTTGAACTGATCCAGTCCTATGGTGCTGGTTTATGTACTTGTTTGCAGATTTTGGTCCAACATGCATCAGCCTGAGGCCTATGCTCCAGACGTACGAGGCACCCGCACTACTTGGAAAAGCATTATCACAAGCGGCCGAAAAGGGTGTCGGTTTGCGCCGTAAACCGTCCGCCACCGCTGCGAGAGTGTGACACCTCTTTGTAGGTTTGTCCTGAAAACCTTCCGTTTTGCCCACGAGACAGGTAGTTATCCTCATATCGATCTAAATCGGCCTAGAGGCTGATTTTGATCTCTAAATCGGCTCCGCTAGCCGGTTTAGCTGTTTTTCTACAAAACCCATCTTGATTTGGCCCTTTCGCTAGATCGAGGTGGTTGGCGACTCCAAATCACCGCAAGGCGTTTAGGTGTTGCGATCGTGCTTGTCGACTTGTCAAAAAAGTTGCCAACACAATTTTTGGCGACTCCGCTGGGGAGGAGATCCGTTCATCGTCAACTCAACTTCGACTTCGCCATGACGAAGCCGCCATCCAAGACGAAGGTGGAGCCATCTAATGTGATGCCGGTCACATTGGATAACTTCGAAGGAGAAGATCGTAAAGCTATGGAGGAGTACATCAACGAGCTCACACGGGAGGCGTTGATGAGAGCAACTACTAGGACTCATCAAGGCGTGATCATCAAGCCCAGGCCACGTCCCAAGCTCGCTCCCGACGTGGTAAGTAATGGCGAGGTATCACAATCTATCCAACAACAAATTGCATCTACAATAGATTCATCTATGGCTAATTTTAAAGATCGATTAGATGTAATGTTTAAGGATAAAGTTGATGGATTTTTAAGGAATAGGCTCGGTTCTCTTATGGATGATTACACATTAAATGATAAAGCCTATACCACTGCTAATCAACCTCCTATAGATCAAACGGGTAGTAAAACCGACGGAACGGCGTTCACGGCCGCGACACAGCCGTCGATCTGACGGCCGGTCAGTCCGGGTATTACCCCGGCGGTCAGACTGGCTCTCAGGCCGGTCCGACCGCACATCATGATGCCGGTCAGACCGGGCCCTGGGCCGGTCAGACCGGCACAATTGTTCCAATACAGGCTATAGATCCAATGACTAATGCTAGTTATTTGCATTACTTTAAAACATTTGATCCTCCTGTATCTACTGCTACAAGTAATCCCCAAGTTCCCCCACATATTCCTAATGCTTATAATGATGTTTCTAGGGGATATCCTCCCGATACTAGACAAGGCCAGTATAATCATATTGCGCCACAAACACAACCTATTAGGCCACTAAACCCACCGCCAAATCAACAAGGGCCTAATAACTTGGAGGATATAATTAGTGATATTATGAGGAATAGATTCGGGATTGAAACTAGGAATCGTGCTAAGGTTTACCAAAAGCCGTATCCTGACTATCATGATAATGTGCCATTTCCTCGTAATTATAGAGTTCCTGAATTTACCAAGTTTAGTGGTGAAGATAGTAGGACCACATGGGAGCATGTAGGTCAATTTTTAGCGCAATGTGGTGAGGCTAATAGTGATACTTTTAAATTGCGCTTGTTTTCTTTATCTTTGTCCGGTACTGTTTTTACATGGTTTACTTCTTTACCAGCAAATTCTATTTATACTTGGGTTCAATTAGAACAAAAATTTCATGATCATTTTTGCACTGGTAAAACTGAGCTTAGGTTGTCTAATTTAACATCTGTTAGGCAAAAATACAATGAATCTGTCGTTGATTATATTGAAAGGTTTAGAGATGTTAAAAGCTGATGTTTTAGTTTGAAAATAACTGACAAAGATTTGGCCAACATTGCATATGATGGATTGCTTGATTCTATAAAAGAGAGATTGAATGGCCAGATATTTCTTGATGTTGATCATGTGTTGAATAAAGCTCTGGCTCAGGAAAGCCGAGTGGATGACAATAGCTTACATGCTAGTTTAGATGATAGTGCAATATCATGTATAGCCGAACCAAGCAATGGTTCGGATTGTGGTAATAATTTGTGCAATAATGCCATTGAAGATATAGCCGAACTAAATGACGGTTCGGATTGTATCACAAGCGAAAGTGAAATAGCATCATCACCTAAGACCGAATCACAAATCGGTCATATGGGTGTTGGGAAAGATGATGACAATGTCTTGCGGGATAGTAGTGAAATAGAATCCAAAGTAGCTATGTATACATATCAAAGGCCGTATCCTGAACACGTAGATTCGGTCCCATACCCGCAAGGATTTGAGGTGCCCAACTTCACAAAATTCACAGGTGAGGATGCTAGAACAACAATGGAGCATATCGGCCAATTTATTGATCAATGTGGTAAGGCCGGTAGTAATGATTTGCTTAAGTTAAAATTGTTTCCCCTTTCTTTGTCAAACTTTGCATCTACATGGTATAGTTTACTTGCTCCTAATTCAATTTCTACATGGTCACAAATGGAGCATGAGTTTCATGATTATTTCAAAGATGCAAGCTTGATGGAACAAAGACCGATTGATACTTCATCGGTCACTTGTGAAACTATTTCGGTTACATCTATACCTAAGACCGGAATTGTTAGTGATTCTCTCCCTGTTAGTCCTATTGATGTTGACAAAAAGAAAGGGAAAAGTGTTATTATTGGGGATCCTCGGCCCAGAAATAGGATAAAAAATGCGAAGGCCGAAGATCATAAAGTTACAAAGGATGAGTCATCTAGTATCCAAAGGACCAAAAAGCCGCAGCTCACTTTTGAGATGCTTATGGCTAAATACAAGAAAGGATTAGCTGGTCAACGATTTGATAACCAAATTAGTGATTCGAAAAGACCAAGATCATCTCGTAGGAAGAGATTTGGTCAAACATCAAAGCAATCGGAGCTATCAACCATACCAACTCCGGTTGTGATGCCATGGTATCCATATCCAATGTCACTATATGGTTATCCTTTTATGTATTATATGCCATGGATGCCTCAACCACCTATGCCGTGTCATTAAGAATGGAAGCAATCACCTAGGACAGTACCAAGTCATTCTAACTCAAGACAAGACCGTTTCCCACAAAAGAATAGGTCTGGTGGGTCAAAGGTGAAAAAGTTTAAGAAGGTGTGGGTGAGGAAAGAAGCCAAAGCTCGGGAGGTCGTTGCTGCCAAAGAGGGGTCTCAAGATGTTCATGTACCTACTGGAGATGCGGTGGAAACCAAGCAGGCAAAGGAGATCGAAGCCGACGCCGTGACTGCCAACATTAGGGGTCTAACCGAGACAGCTGGCCGGTCTAACCGCCAGTCTACGGCCGGTCTGACCGACCTTACTGGCCGGTCTGACCGACGGCTTGTGGCCGGTCTAACCGGGCCCAGAGGCCGGTCTGACCGGAGGGTATTGCAGAAGAGTGGAAAAATTGAGAGCAACATAGGAGCTTCCACTTCGACTAAAAATATGAAGAATCATTGTTTTGCTCCTGGAAAACAACCACAGCCAAAGTGGATACCTTCTGGCTTATCTCGCTCTAAAAAAAGGAGGCTACAACGTCTTCGGGCCATAGGTCAAAAGGAAAAGGAGGCCGAAGATGTGGAGAACAAAACATGTAATAATTTAGAGCCTCAAAAAGCATCTAGGCAAGTGTGGAGATCCAAAGAGGTAAAAGTTAAGAGATCGGTGATTTCCCATAGTAGAGATAAATCCAATTTGATGAGAGAAGAATCATCGGTCATTAGAAATAAGTCTCCTTCACATAATACTATGGGTGTTAGTGTGGTATCCGTCTTGCCTTCGAAATCGCGCAATCTAGAAAGCCGATTTTGCTTGGGGGGCAAGACATTAATATGCTCATGAGAGAACCAAGAGAAGATGAACGACGATGGATACAACATCACATCTTTGAGCCGCCGTTTGTTGGATGCTAAGGCAAGGTATGAATTTATTGTGTTTATCATTATATTATATGCCTATGCCATGTTATTATAATATTGCTTGCTATCTAGCACATGTGTGTTTTTGCTTATCAAATTGATATTATACATACATGTTGCAAATGCCAGTTCTATGTAGTAGAATTGGTAGGTTGGCATATAATTTGTTTGAAGTATGATTTGGCTCATGACTCTTTGATATTTATTTAAAGCCAAATCTTATGTGTTTTTATGGATCACCATATAAGATATAGATTTCATATTTATTGCACCATGAAAGTTTTGCTTACTAATAATTCGGCTAATGTCAATGGTCAATGTGATGATTTGCTCTAGAGTGGTTTTGTTTAGGAACATTGGCATTGTTAATATTTTGCATACATGCTCAAGCCGATTACTTACATTTTTAGTTTATTGAAATCTATGCATGTGACACATAT